CTCCTCCCCCTAGCTGTGTATTTGGGGACATTTTCCTAGTTGCTGGCATGTACTCAGCTTGGCCAGGACCCCAAGCCCGTGTCCTCCCTCCTCCCTTTTCCCTGCTGCCGGCGCTCCTGCTCAGGGAGGAACACGCAGAGTCCCCGTAGCCTAGGAGCTGAAGCGGCTGCTGGTGCTTCTACTGTAGACGACGGAGGCCAGGCTGCAGCCAGTGCGGGAGGAGGGCGGGCCCGTGGCGTCTGCCTTCTTTGTGCCTCATTGCTGGGAGAGACTGCGGGGGACCAAGAGAGACACAGACACAGAGAGAGAGCCAAAGAACCAGCCATCGGGCTTCCCCTGGAGATGGGGACATGGAGACGGCAGAGCAGCCCCATCGGACAGGCACCTGCAGCCCATCCGGCCATGTGCAGGAGGGCGCTGCTCCTGGCCTGGGCCGTGCTCCCGCAATGCCTCGGGGCGCTCAGGACTTTGGGCAGGGTGGCTGAGGGCATTGGTTTGGGCAGTGAGGAGTGGCTAGCTTCTGGAGGCTCTGCAGGCCAACTCTTGCTCTTCTGAGAATGACTTCAGGAGGGGAGAAGTGAAGGAAAGCATAAAAAAGTCACATAGAGGTGTGTCTATACATATACATATATATTGAGCGAGAGCGTGTTATATTCATATGGATTTATTCTAGAGTCTATGCCTGCCCTGCGGACAAATCTGATTTTAGATGATCTATTATATAATTGCCCAGCTGGTTCATGACTGGCGCTTAGCAGGGCTTGGTCAGGATGACCTTGGGGAGGGATCTTCCTGAGTTGGGAGGCTCTGAGGTTCACACACTGAAGTGGGAACAGTATAGTATAGGGATTTCCCTCTGCCTGGGGGAGCTGGATAGAGGGGTCCAGAGCCCTGGAGCTGGGACGGTAGGTTCTCTGGGGCCTCAGGTTTCCCCTGCTGGGACATCAGCTTTACTAGCTCACTGGTCAGAGAATGCAAGTGTTCCACCTGTGTGGCATCTCTGGCATCTTTAGTGGAGCTGAGGGGTGGGGTGGCCTGCTAAGGCAGTGTGATGGCTGATGGTCATAGGTGGGTGGAGGTGGCAGTGTGCTGTGATGGGAGGACACTGGCCTCAGAAGTCACTGGGCACAATCCACCAAACAGATGGAAACTGAGACATAATTATCAGCAGATTCAGCTCTGCTCCCCAAGCCTCACGCTCATCCACACTGCACTGGCCCAGTGAGCCCCCTTTGAAGGAGGGGCCTGACCTGCCTGGCATCAGCTGAGGGCACCTCAGGAAGTGCCCCCAACACCTTGCATCAAGGCCAGCTCTAGTTTTTGTTTTTGTCAGGGACATGCCCATGACATTTCCTTCATGAAGCAGAGCTGTCGGAGGGCCTCAGTGCCCTGGGAACAGATGCACTGAGATGGAAGGTCAGAGCCATCCCCACCGGCCGTGGCTGCTGGGAGGGCAGGCCCCCACTTTGGAGGCATGCGAGCAGGAGCGGGTGTGGGAGTCTGGATTCTTCAGGTGGGAGGTTGGCTGTGGTGTGGGCTATGGAACCCTCAGCTCCCGCCTGTTCCGGGATGTACTTAAAGTCTTGGCACTGCCTGCCTTGCTTCTCCACTATTGGCCCTGCCCTCTGCCTCTTTGCTTGCCCTGTCCCTGCAGCTCTGGGGACCCTCTTGTGTAGACAGACTACCTGTACCCACCCTGCCCAACCATACCTGCTCTGTGAGTCCCTCCACTGTGCCCACCGTGTGGCCCCAATAAAGCCGATGAGCCCCTGCCTCAGTGGTGTGCAGTCTCTTGCCGTGAGCCACCCCCTCCCCTTCAGAAGCTCTGACTTAGCTCCACCCCTCACAGCCCAGAGCACCCCTCTCCATGCTTTTCCCCCACACTCTCGCTTCCCCCTCCTACTGCTGTCTGGGATGAGGCCCAGAGTGGTCAGGTGACTGGCCCAAGGCCAGACAGCTGGCAGGAGTTTAGAACCAGGTCTCCTGACATTCATCCAGAACCAATGCCCCTGACAGTATTTTCTCCAGTGGCCCCCATACCAGCCTCTGTCGGGGACATGCAGAGCCCTGCTGAGGCCATAGGGAGGCACCATCTGGTCCTTGGTAGGTGGGGCCCAGAGGGGATGGGTAGGGATACACCAAGCCTGCCCAACCTTGCAAGGTGGCTAGGTGGATGCAGAGGGACAGGGGTGTAGCTAAGGGGTGGGGTGAGGTCAAGCCCGTGCCCAGGTTTCATCAGGCAGCTCCTGACTTCTGCCCAACCTCAGACTCTCAAGAGAACAACCTGCTCCTGTGAAGTTTTTTCCACCCTGTCCTGCTCACTAGATAAGACATTTATTGCCACATCACCTTAGTGTCCCACTGGACCCTTCCTCAGAGCTCTGGCCCCTTGCCATCTCTAGCTCGCTCACTTTTTGGACAGAGACAGAGGCCCAAAGGAGGAAGCAGCCTGCCCCAAATCACAGAAGGTGTGGAGGGACCAGAGGGTGTGTATGGACCAGGCTCTGGGTCTGTGGACCTTTGAGTCCATGACACTGGCTCCCTGGGATGGTCAGAGGCAATGCCTCCACCCTACCTGAGGGCCCAATCTTGGGAGGAAGCTAGCTTTTCCCCAGATGCCAAGGTCAGACCCTGCTTCAGAGTCTAGACTTGGAGTTTTACTTGGGAACAACCCCTGCTTCAGAATGCTCCCCCAGCCAGGCCTCACATCCTATTCTCCACCGCAGAGCCCCCCCCCAGAGCTCTGCCACACACCTGGGAGAGTCCCGGGCAGCCCCATGCCCCAGCAGGATTTGAGCCCAGCCACTTGGGTCCAGGTGGGAGTCCCCAGGGAAAATCCTGAGAGTGCTCCAGATGCCGGGGACTGCAAGGGGGCACTGTGATGCACCCATTAGTGGGGTCCAGAAGTTTCTGAGTGATTCTGCCGAGAATGACAGCTATGGGGTCCCCTGGGTGTGAGGGGGGGCTCCAAATCCCACACAGTTTTTACCTTGCTGCCTGGTCAGCCCGTGTAAGTGCCTTGGTGCCTCAGGCCTCGCTTTCCCCATCGGCACAGGGGGCTGTTGTGGAGGTTTCCCTTTCTCCTTTGGGAGGGAGGTTGACTGGGTACCTCAGCTCCCTCCCCACCGTGAAGTTTATGAATTGTGTGAGTGCACCACACACTCCATACACCAACGGGGATGACCCTTCACGTGTGCACAGCCCTCCACAGTTTATGCAGCACCTCCTAGGCCATGATCCACCTTAGTTCTCGCAACCCTGGAGGAAGGGTAGGTAGATGAAGACATGAGAATAGTGGTCTGGTCAAAACTTAAGTGCCTGCCATGCACTGTGTCTGGTGATGTGGTGTCCACTAGTGTGTACAGCCAGGGCCTCATGGAAGCCTACGCTTGGGGATTGTCCTCTCAGAAACACCTGGAGCTGACCAGGCCCTGTGCTGGGTGCTGGGGATCTGGGCATGAGTGAGACACGACCCTGCCCTCCAGAAGCTCCCCTCAGTGAGCAGAGAAAGAGCTGGAGGAGGGGGTTTCCAAGGGGAGTGTGAGGTCAGGAGGCCCCTGAAAGCTGTGGCTCAGGATCCCCTGAGGGACAAAGAACAGGGTGGGTACCACACATGCATAGCTGAGGTGGCCTAATGCCTCACAGGGTGTGGATTCTGTGGGCCCGAGGGAGGCAGTGCTCAGGGGTGAGGCTGAGAGAGTCAGCACAGCCGCCCCACAGGGCTTTGAATGCCCTGCCAGGGAGCTGGTGTCCCTGGTGATGGGGCATTTCAACTGTAGACAACACAAGAAGAGAGATGGGCTAATAAGCTGCCTGTATCCATCTCTCCACTTCAACAACGGTGGCCCATCTCCGTTCCTCTCCACCCCCTCTCCCCAGGCAACATATTATATTTCTGGATGCATTTCTGAATGATAAAGACTTGTTCAAAACAAAACAAAAAACTAACTGTAACACAACTAAAATAATTTTACACTATTTTTCTAATATCCTCAAATACCCGGTAAATGTTCTGGTTTACAATTTGGCCAGCAATGTGTATGCTTTACAGTTTGTTTGAATGAGACCCGAACCAAGGTCTGTAACTGCAATTGGTTGCTTCCACTCATCTTTTAATGTTTTCCTTGCAATTTATTTGCTGAAGGAACCGCTGTCCTGTGCAATTTCCCACTGCAGTAATCCCCTCTTCTCTGTGGTTTTACTTTCTGCAATTTCTGTTACCCAGGGGCAACCGTGGTCCGAAAATATTAAATGGAAAATTCCAGAAAGAAATAGTTCGTCAGTTTTAAGTTGTGCATTCTGAGTAGTGTAAGTTCTTGTGCAGTCCTGATCCATCCCCCCTTGGACGTGAACCATCCCTTTGTCTAATGTATCCGTCTGTCTAAGCTGCCCATCTGTTAGTCACTTAGCAGCTGCAGTCAACTGTCACAGCATCCAAGTGCTCGTCTCTTACTGCGCCTAATTTATAAGTTGAGCTCTATCATTGGTATGCACGTATAGAAAAGAAATTATATAGGAAAAATATAGCTTATATTTACTAAATATAAACTTACGAAGCTAATATCTTACTTTGCCTGATTTATAAATGAAGCTTTACCGTAAGTATGTCCATATAGGAAAAAACAGTCTGTGTGGTACTATCCACGGTTTCAGACATCCCCTGGGGGTCTTGGAACGTACCCTGCGAGGATGGGGGCACTACTCTATCTGGGTTTTACTGGCTTTGGTTTCATGGTGTCATTTAACACGGTCTCAGTGCTCTGTATTTCCTGTAAGCTAGGACTTAGCTCCAGAGGCTTGATAAGGTTCAGGCACAAATTTTATTTGGCACAGCTGCTTCATAGGCGATGGTCTCTCAGGAGGCACGTAATGTCTGGTTGTCTCCCTTTTTTGTAATGTTATAAGCCATGAGTTCATAAATCCATTATTCGTCCACGGTTGCAAAATAGTGGGAGTCTAATACTCTCGTTTCTTAGCTGGAATTCATCTCCACATAAAAACCTCCCTTCATCTGCTGTTGGTTGCTCTCTGGTAGTTTGTGTAGAAAAGGCAGGATAAATCTTCCATTCTTTCCCCTCATTTTCCAGTTTAAAAAAAAAATGAGTTGATTCCCTGCCATCCTCCAGCAGTGACTAACTGTGTGTGTATCATCATGATCTCACGGATGTGAGTGTGTTTGACATGCTTTCATCCGTCAGGGTTGTTATCCTTCCTGCTGCTCACATTGGCCTGTCTTTGGCCAGTGGGAGCCTCTTCAAGTTGGTCCTGAATCCTTTGATGTGGCCCCAGGGGCTTTGGTTTCTTCCTTGATTTCCGCCTTAACCTGATGTTTGGAAGGGAGTTGTGTGCCGAGTACTCCTTCCTGACAGCCCAGCAGGCAGCAGAGGGGCAGGGTTGCTGGGG